TAAAATTTTAATTTAAAAAAAAATTAAAATAGGTACCCATTAATGTCATATACGTGGCAGCATGAGGGTGCCGGTGTCCAAGGCGAGAGTGACCACAGCGAGTGCGACTGCCCCTCCTTTAGTTCCCACCGTTGGATCCACAGGAAGTACATTAGTTTAGTTTAGTTTAGTTTAACCACGGGACAGAACAGAACAATAATTTTTTATTTTTTATTTATCCTATCTTATATGAATAGTACGAGTTCCATCTAGTAATTCGATTTTATCTTTCTCCCAAAAGAAAAGAAAACCCTAGTTCTCCTTCGGCATTCTCCTTCCAACTCCTATTCTCTGAATTTAGTTTTCCTCAACTCCAATCAGCCAGCCTCCTCTAAGACATCCTGAAAATCCTGACCCCAGAGAGATGTTCATTGTCCGATATTGGTTTTACAGGTAAGGTAAAAGATTTAATTTTAGATCTGAGCAATATCTTGGGTTCTTCTGGTTATTTCTTTGATTGGATAAATTTTTCATGTTCAAGATCGTCACCGCTCTTGGGTTTGAGCGCCGCTTTCCCGATTGGTTTGCGCTGAGTTATATGTAATCATGTATTCTGGAGAACTCATCAGATCTTGTGCATATACATGGCTTTGATTCTGTACTTTCTGTTTTTTTATATTTGGATTTTTTAATGATTTCTTTGGTCTTTGATGTGCAGATCGCATGATACCGAACCAAAGAGCAGATCAATTAATCCATTTCTCCGTCAGATCTAACCAAGAGGTTAGATCTAACTGATGTGGTCTGCATGCTAAGGTATCTGTTCTCCCTCAGTTCTTTCTTTTACCTAGAGGTTCATCTTTGTTTCTTTGTTTTCTTCTAAGTCGTAGTCCTCCAAATTGTTATTTGAAGGGATTGTCAATCAAATTTAAGAATACAATGTTTGGTAGATATTAATAACGAAATAATAATTAAAAAAAAATGCCTAAGGTAAAGTTATCTGCAGATTTAAAAACAAAAAGGAAATTATGACTTCAGTTTTATAGATCAGCCAAAATTTTTTGTTCTCCATCTTCAGATTTGGCACCTCTGGTGGTTTTTTCTCATCATCTGACTAATTTGCAGGACAGATCTGAAGCAGTTTCACGACATTTGTGAAAATTAATCTCTGTTTCAAGACTTTCAGATCTTCATTGATATCTGGTAAGTTGTCAGATCTCTCTCTGGTTTTCCACTTAGATTCTGTATTTTGTTTTGGGTCTTATCTGATTTTTTCCATGTGCTTTGATTTTATAACATTCATGTGTTCTCTTAGGCATTTTATGGTAGATCTTGTATGGTAAGAATGCAATGTCTGAATTTATTTTAGTTACAATGTTAAATTCATTGCTCTTAACTTTCCCACAAGAGGGTATAAGCCTGGTAAACCTGGGGAGGTGATTTGACGTGCTACTATTCACTATTACACCAAGCTCCTGTTAACCTTAACGGAGACCAAATTACTCTGCCTCCAGAGTTCTACTTTGGCTCTGGAATATCCTGCAGTTCCTCCTCTGCCCTGCCAAATGGGTCAAAGATTGAAGCAATTAACATGTCAGATAGACTGCAGGCCCTTCTACTTCTCTATCTACACCATCTCTTAACTGATACCCTTGGCAGAACAACACACTGCTAGTATCTACCACAGTTCCTTTGCTACATATTAGAGTTCTAGTTTTCATCCTTTCCCTGAAGGCCAGCCATGACATGCAAAAATGCACATTGTGGTACCACATTAACCATATTATGCCACTCCATTCTACTCTCCTTGCGTCACTACTGCTCATATGCACTAGAATATGGTTACCTGAGTTTGAAGGCAGAGAAACTCGTGTCTACCAACCACTAAGCTGCATTGCCTGCAACTTCTAAGCAATTCCTCAAAATATGCTTTCAAAACTATGGAATAGCCAATCAGTGTTGTTAATTGAGTTCCCCAAAGGCTACACATCTTCTCCACCAATCCCTTTCAGATAATTGTGAAGGTCTCTGCTTCCAATCATAAAAGTGGAGGTTTCCCTCCCATCGCCCACCAAAATCTGATTATGATCATTAAAATATACCCTTAATTTCAAAGTCTTCCTCCATGTCCAAGAATTTTCCTGACTACTTATTTGCCAGATATTTTGACCCTTAAGTAACACTACCACATTTCTCACCACTTGGACTATATATTTTAAGGTTTAGCAACTACATTCCATAGATGCTTCCTTAATGCAACCAGGTTCCAGACTTGAAGCTGCTTTAGTCCAAGTACTCTACTCTAGGGAGACAAAACAGATTTCCATGCTAGGACGGGTAACCCCTTATTCTCACTATTACCACTTCACAAGAAATTGACAGTATCCCTAAATCTCTTAATAACTCTCTCAGGTAAGTATAAAATTGAACTCCAAAATATTTACCCATAGCACTTCACTAATAAGCTGTAGTCTTTAAGTCAGGTAGATATTAGTAAAAAATGAAAAATACCTGAGTAAAGTTACATGCAGATTTAAAAGAAAAATTCTTACTGAAGTTTAAATCATCAGCCAGGGCAGAGGATGATAACAATCATCATCTTGATGTCTATGTCTCCCTTTTTTTGTTGGCTATTTTCGACATTCCTAAAATTAGATATCTGAATGCTAATTAGACATTAGCAACAGACAAATCCTTAAGATAGAGTGACATTTGTTGCTAAATTCAACATAAATGCAAATCAAGTAGAGATTAACAACCCAAACCAGAGGATGGTAACGGTCATCATGGTAATTCCTTAATTTTACTGAGTATGTCAGCTATTGCTGACATCGTTGGACGTTCATGCATGTTAGTACTTTTGCATCTGATGGCCAAATCTGCTATTCTCTTTGCATCTTCATGATTGCACTTTTTAAATCTTGTCTGTACTGCTAAAGCCATATTTTTAATACTGTTTTCTCCTTTTGCTTGCTCTTTGTTTTCTGATATCATTAGTTGGGTAAGTAACACGCCAAAAGAGTAGGAGTCTGCTTTCTGAGTAATTTGAGCTGCAAAAATTGACAATTTTTTTTAATTAGAAAACAATGCAGAAGTTAATTGGAAATTACAACAAAAAAGCATGATAAAAGAAAAAAACCACAGGGTAAAAAACTTGCATATGAGTAGTATCTGACAAAGTAATGATTTAAATTCTATTAAGTAATGCTTTGATTCAGTTTTGAAGAATGGAATTTGGTACTACCCTTGTTTTTTTTTCTTTTTCATGCTTCACAGCTAGTGTTATATGTCCCAAGAACTTATGCTTGTAGGTTCTGTAAAATTCGTGACAATTTGTTCTTATGTATCTAACTATAATAGTGAATTTCCAGGAGAGCAAGTATATTTAAAACTGATATATCATAGATGCCAAGTTAATGGGGTAACGAAAAGCTCACCACTAAGTATACCAAAAAAAAAAAAAAACTCAGTAAAAAACTTGCATATAAAGTAATGATTTAAATTTTGTTAAGTAATGCTTTAATTGAGTTTTGAAGTATGGAATTTAGAGTTATCAATAGTGGATAGTGGAAAATAGTGGGAAGGAGAAATTGCTGTGATATCATAGTGTCCACCGTTGGAAAATAGCACCATTAAAAAATATATTATTATATTTAATAAATAAAACAATAAACAATTTTTTTATCATTTTATGAAATAAAATAACAAACTTAACAGAAACAATGCATAATAGGACACCTTATAACTCATAAAAATAAACAAAAACCACAACATTAATATTCTTAAGCAATAAATGCCTTATATGCAATGTGAGCATAAGAAAGAAAAAAATCTAACTAGGAGAATCGTAGCATTAAGCATCTGGTGCTTTTTTCTTTTTGAATGCCAAGTTATGCTGAATGAAAATATAGTTTAGCTAAACCATAGATATGAGAATAAGAAGGACCCTGGTGCAGGCAATTCAAAATTACACAATATAAGTGTATCTTGCTCCAGATAAAATAGCTTTAATATTTCTGCTTTGTTTTAGGAAAATGCAAACTTTAATTTTGGGAGGTATTAATGGAAAAGAAAAGGAAAGGACTGTTGTAGAATGAAGAAACAATTGCTTTGCTTAACACTATGTACATGTTGAGTTATATGTAAACAAATTTGTATCTAAGTGCACAATTTGCATAGGCTGAAGAAAACCTTTCAATATTTGTAGCCATTTACTGTAGCAAGGCTAGAACTTCTTGGTGGCAGGCATTGTGCATCATTCAGGGCTTTGGTATTGCCTGTCAACTTCGCAGCATTGAGTGGTGGACTGCTACTTGCTGGTGACAGTTGATTAGGATTTAGGGCTGTTGGCAAACTGTTTTGGTTAGGGAATTAGGGTCACCAGCAGGGAGGTTGTGGAGAATTTCAGATTTAGGCTTAAATTTGGGATTTTTGTTTTCTGTTAACAAAATTAAATTAAGGCAGGCATTCCTGCCCCTAAAAAATTATTTTAATTGGTTGTTTTTGTGTTTTTAAACAAAATAAACAATAGCACTTATATCAGGCGCCATCTGCTATGGCAATAATGACTGCTATAGCAGTTAAGTGGCTGCTATTGATAAACTGCCACGCTATGGAAGTTGTCGTAGCGGTAAAGCTATGGGGCATTGCACTGTGTCACCATAGTGGTTGCTATGACCGCTATTGACAACACTGATGGAATTAGGAACTAAACATTTCTTTTCTTTATTGTGCCTCACTCCTAGTGTTATAGGTCCCAAGAATTTATGCTTGTAGGTTCTGTAAAAATTAAAATTCATGACAATTAGTTCATATGTGCCTAAGAACACTTTGTCACAGATTATCACCACATTAGAAATGCAGAACTAGAAACAATAGAACAAGAGGAAAATTCCCCACAATTATCAGTTTGTCACAGATTATCACCACCTTTGAGACATAGAACTTGAAACAATAGAACAAGAGGAAAATTCTTCACAATTATTAATTTTGATTACTTTCAAATTTGCTGTTTTACAGGGCTTCCAAGACACCTATTTGTGCATGAACATCCTTCTAAGAATAGGTAAACCTCTAAGAAATACTAAGTTAATTTAGATCTTGATCTACTAAATAAATCTCATAAAATTACATACTTGACTCTTAGAAAATCCTAGGACTTTTGGAAATCTAAGAGATAGTTAGCAACTTTGAAGCAACAATTTGAGATGTTTGACTGAAGTTAGCTAAAATATTTTTAATAGTATAAACAATTTAAGATTGTAGATTCCCTGGCTTGGCTAGGAACCTAGTCCCTTCTTGTGACAACAGAAGAGAAGGTTTAATTTCATCCCATTTCCTATGCTTTGGCATCCCTGATTAGAGAATATATATCTGAACAAAATATAAAATGAAAGAAGGCATGGTTGTCAATCTTGATCAGAGCAGAATTAAGCTTCTTTCAAAGAAAGAAAAATTGAAATCTAGGAAATTCTAAGACAAAAAAAAAAAAAGAAGAATATTTTCAATTTCTAACATAAAGAACTTCTTACTTGAATTGCCACGTGGGCGATGCAGCAGCTCTGGAGCAACATAGTCAGGAGTATAGGCAGTCTCAATTCTGCTGCCGTGCTTGACAATTGAGCCCATGTCAGAGAGTATGACATTCATTTTCTGAAACATAGCACATGGTCAGCAAAATGGTTAAAACAAAATGAGAACAAGCATACGTGGTAGTGTTAGTTTTATATTCTCACCTCATCCAACAATACATTTTCTGGTTTGAGATCAACATAAACCAGACCAGCCTCAGAACAAGCTTCTTCACTAATCCTCTTTCCTGTTTTTGTTTTATGTTTTAAAGGCTTTTCAGATTTCTCCTTAACAAGAATTTGTTGGTGGATGTGATGAAGAGCTAGAGATATTTCTCTCAATATTCTTATAGAGTCATCCAATTCCAAATCTGTAATTTGAAATTAGTTAGTGATTGATTAATAGAGATCTATGATTGGTTTCAAAAAAATAAATTGTAGAACGTAAAATGGCATGTGTGCTTTGTAACAATCATGCATGTGAACCTTTAAAATGAGACATTGTACACCCTACATGATTACCGTTCATGTGATTTGACAGGTTGTCCGAGTATTGGGGCAATAGTAGACACAGCTTTTCATCACCATACCCCTTCAGCTTGATGATGTTTTGATGGCAGAATAGTTCCAAGTACTTCTTCTCGGCCTGCCATATAATTTCTTTTTAGAAACAAGTATTTGCATGTTAGCTTCACCAATTGTGCTAAGGAATTTATAGCTTTGAGTGGGGATAAAATTTGATTTACGTTGTACTGTGCCTGTGCCTGGTTAGTTGATGAATACTTCTTCACTACCTTTCCCTTATGTTTTCCATGAGCTGCATACACTTCTGCAAAGCCTCCTTGACCAATTTTGTTTTTCCATTTTCTTGTAATGCTTCTCCAAAAATTCTCCTTATATTTCTTTGCTGGTTTCTCTGTTATGGTACAACATTGGAAATAGATAGAGTAGTGCAAAAGCTAAAGAAATGACTATATAATTATAAACACTAAGTAAATGGGCTACTCCCAAGTCGAAAGTAATGCATAAATTGAAGAATTTAGCTGTTTTTTTACCGATCACAGGTGCTTTTCCTTTGGCACTTCGTTGATTCATTGTGGGCAGCTTAGCTGATTCCTTTTCCGGCAACTCTCCCTCCTCTGCCGATGAAAAGAAGTAGAAACCCCTTTGCAGGTCTAGGGTAAATTTGATTTTATGGAGTTTCCATTAGTACCCTTTGTTCCAACAAATTTAAATGTAGTAAAAACTTGATATTTTTTCATCATTTTTAAAATTATTTTGAAGCAAATGTATTTAGGTAGAAATGGATATCATTTCTAAATTTGTGCCTTTTAAAACTATGAGTGTGTTTGGTTTTGGTTAGTTTTATTGAAGCTATACGTTATATTTGTTAAGTAGCTACTACTGGAAATATCAACATATAATTTCAAGGGTTGAAATTAATTAGGAAAAGTGTTATTTTATAGGTTATATTAGAGTTCAAATTTTAAGATCAACATAAAGGAAATTAATTTCTTTAGATACACTTAGCTGATATTGATATTAATGTATGCCCGTAAGATTGTTTGGAGGAAGTAATTTTGACGTGCAAGAAATCTGGTATGAGAAGATCTCTATTCATCCGAATAAAAATACAGACACACACACACACACACACACACACACACAACACACACACACATACATATCAGTTTGTAAGTTGATTTTAAAATATTAAGTAATAGATATTAATTGTTCTTAACGGCTAAATTAAACAAAGCCTATGTCATTTTTTACATACATGGTTTTGTTAATGTGTCTTGAACAACTTTTGTTTTAAGTTAGGCTTGTTGTCCGTACGTTTCAAAATGACATGGTTTTGAGAGTATGAGGCTCTTTGATTTTAAAACAGCATAGTTTTCAAATTAACTTTGATTAATGAATACTATCAATATTTTAATTTAAAATTACTTTGCTTTAATAAACACTCTTCAAACCTATTTAAAAGTTAGGTAGTTTTAACAATTCTTTTATCAACTTCATTCTAAAGCTAAATAGCTTTTAGGAGGGAGCTAAGTAGTTTTCATTGATACTGTACGGTTTTAGCGTTTCAAATATTTTTTAGTTATTAATTGATAATCAAATGTTTTTTAGTTATTAATTGATAAACACTTTTCTGCTCACTATAAAAAGAACTTTAATTTTTTTATGGTTCCATAAAATGAATTAATTAATCGATCTTCGAACCTATTCGGAGAGCTGTATATATGCCGTATTGTCGTCACCTTGTAAAATTTCGCTACCCCTAATATTAAGCTATAGGCATGTAATCAATTTGGTTTTTTTTTTTTTTAATTTTTTTTATTTTTTATATAACTAAACCCTCTATTATTTAAAAGTTACATTGAGTTTAAATTAATTTGAAATCGAGGTGAGTCCGATTCCATAAGAGGGCTCTATAATAATTAATATTGTAACATTGTAACATTGTCCATATCATATAACATTGTAACTAGCAATTCTGTCGTATAATAATTAATGTTTTGTTTTTTAATTTGAATTTATGTTAAATTAATTGGTATTTATCACATTTTAAAGGAGATATTCTTTCTTACTTGACATCAATTATCTTTCTTAATTATCATGAAAAGTGAAAAGTCTTATTTTATCTTTATCTCCTTTTTTAAATGTAATATAGGTAAATTATAAATTTCCTTCAAATTTTTAATTTAAAGATAAAATTAAAAAAAGCATTTATTATTATGAGACAAAAGGATTATGATTTAATTACCATTAAGAAAGTTTCTTGAGTGAGCTAGGGATTGAACCCAACACCTTATAATTCACTTGGATGGGAAACCTGGGTTCGAATATATTCTTGACACAAGTGGAGAATATTGTATTTTGTTGTATAACTCAATCATCTAATAATGTATTGAGAATATAAAGAAACTAACCCTTTTTTGGCCAAATTAAGAAAGCAACACTGATTTTCAAGAACAAGGTCTGCCATGTCACTGTGATATCTCTTCAGAACAATTATTAAAGAGCCGAAAGCAGTCACTTCACTGGTTTTCCAATCTCTCATGTGGGTTTTTATGTTATTGTCATGCTTTATTCTGTTAAGGCCATACCGTCATCACTACCGAAACTCTGTGTCCTGGATCTCTTTCGTTATCTCTCAAGAGGTTGAATGAGAATTTAAAGTGTTAGACATGTTATGATGTATTTATTCTCATATTCTGATGATAATATAAAATTTATCTTAGTTTAAATTAATCTCTTTGACTTGATATTTAGTATCATTTATAATAATTTTTTGTGAATTCTTTTGGAATCGAACATAAAAAGGAAAGATTAAGAGAAAACTTGAGTGTTTAATAAAATTTTTAAGTTGGTAAAGTAATTTGCATGTTTCCTGGTTAAAGTGCTAGTTTTGATTCTTCCATCCTATGGCCAAAAGAATTTAATCTTCATTCATATAAAAAATGAATAAAAAAAGTGTTTTTTAAATCAAATTATATAAAATAAAAGTGTAATTTATGTTATGAATTTACTAAAATATCTTAATAAAACTCCTCTGTACTAATTCAATCATGTTATTTTAATCATTCTCTATATTAATTCATCTTGAATTGTGCTTTTATTGTGCAATTTAACCTAAAAGACTATAAAACTCAAAATTAAAAATATGCTTGTTATATTTCTCTAATTTACTCAAATTATTGAATATGATGTTATAAGAAGGAAGAAAAAACCAATAAAATAATTAAAAAAAAAAAAAAAGGAAAGGAAATCTTAAAACATATTAAATAGTCTTTAGGTCAATCCAGCTGACCCCGTTCAAGCCATAATATTTCTTTGGATATTTGGATACACTGAGCTAGGATAAATGTTAAAATTCTTTTTGCCCACAATACTGACACCTAAGGCCCCTAAGGGGTTGTCTAAAGTAGGACGAGACTTTGAGTTGAACACTTTTAATTCAATTTTGAGATTAGTGTAGAGGGATTAAAAAAAATTATTTTTTATTGTATAAACTATAATATAATATAATGTATCAAAGAAGATATTGGCACTTAAGGCATTTAAGAAAAAATATTGTGCAGTGTGAATAGTGTTGGATTGCAAAACAATAGACATGGCATTCAAACTAGAGAAGAGTAAAGAAAAAAAAACTTTATTCTAAATTTTATCCGGTGGTGCGGCCTATTTTAAATCTCTATGAGATATGAAGTTTTATCAATTTCTAGTGAGAAAATAAATTTTGTTTATCATGTATTTTATTAAAAAAAAATATTAATTCGGATTATAAGTGTATTCCAAGGCATTTGCAAGAATATACCAAAGCATCCATAGTAAAACAGACAATTATAATCAGATTGACTGCAGTTACTGAACTCATTACTAAAAACTCCATATAAACACACTGAGAGGAGGTCCACAAGAAGCCCGTCTCAAATAATTCATCTTCAAGCGCCCAGTGCCTCAATTGGTCAGTGTCTCCAAAGCTCCAAAAATACCTCGTGTTTCATTTTTGCCTTTCATCCATAAAACGATCTGAAATTGATCAGTTCTATCATTCAAGTTCATATGTATTATAATTGGAAATGGAGATATTAGGTAGACTTTTTTTTTTTTACTAACTCTTGATATCTGAAAGTTGCATTGGATCTCGATTAATTTGAATTTGAACAGACTCAAACCTCAAAAGGGGAAAGCTTTGTTAGTATCTATTTTTCCATTCAGGAAACTTGAATTCAAGATTCTGTTTAAGAAAAGAAAAGTGAATTTTTTTTACTCGAACTAACTAGTCGTTGGTGTAAACTTTTCCCTTTTTAACTTAAATGTTGGATTCACTTGTAAGTAAGTGCAATTTAATTTGTATAACGCAAACTTTTAAGCCTTACTATATCACATAAGGAAAATTTTTGTCTAATTATTGTTATTCAATTAATCCCTTTAAAATTTTTCCTAAATTCCTTAAAAATACTTATAAATTTTACATAAATACCAATAGGCATCTTTTAAAGAAAATGTAGGAGTTTGAAATCTAATTAACTCTAATTATACCCAAAATTTTGTCAAATATAAAACCTTGAAATATTAAAATTCCATACCATGAATTCTTATCATTTTTTTGGTACTAAATTTCATAGTATCTGAAAGTCACATTAGACCCAACTAATCTGGAGGCAAGCCATATCAAACCCTATAAAGGGAAAGCTCTCCCTGTGCATGTTTTTTTATTTACAAAATTTCGATTTGAGATCTTATTTAAAAAAAAAAAAAAAAAAACAAACTCTTTCAGAGCATTAGGTTGTTGGTGCAAATTCTTATCATTACCTAAGATAAATACATGCATTGAAATATTAGAAACGAATTCTTATTTCTACTATGCTCCAAAAACAAACTTTTTGATGGATTACCCAAGGTTTTAATTATTATTGTGTTTATCGAATTTTTATTAAATTGATTAAATATGTCAAACAAATACCTTCAAATTCAATTCCACAACAATTAATTACTAATAAGAACAAGTACTACACTTGATCTGATAAGAAAAGAAAGAAGTAATGACTTAAGTCCAAGCCAAATACTTTCAAATCACAAACGAATGCAATGTGAACTTATAATATATTCAAAGTGGCATTCAGTAAATTGATTCTTATTTATTCCATTACTTTGGGAATTTTGGGAATAAGCGAATAATGATTAATATGTGAATAATTTTGGATAAATATATTTTTAAATAATAATTATTAAAATTTTAAGAATTATAAATAATTACAAATTGTAGAATATATAACCAATATTTATTAACTTGATTATAACTATATCAACTTGAAAAACTAATTCAAAAAGTACAAAATAAGTTATAAATGAACCGTCTTAGTATAAGCAATAGAAGTAAGAACAGTTATAAGGAATCTTAAAATAAAAACAAGCACCTCTATGAGGAACTTTAAAATGTTTTGACATTTTTTTCTCTCAACAGTCTAAACCATCAAAAAATTATGAAAATTGTAAAGTAAGAGCCCTTACAAATTTTCAAGTTAAACAATTCTTATATACACATAATAAGGGGAGAGAGAAAGAGTTAAACAATTCTTATATACACATAATAAGGAGAGAGAGAGAGAGAGAGAGAGAGAGATGGAAATAAAATGGTACATAATAATAAATAGAGATGTAAAAAGTGACCAAGAATAATATTGAAGGAATAAGGATAAGGAAAATGCTTTGTGCACCCCCCGGTTCAACACCCGGGGGTACACACTCTACAAAACCAAATAATTATAAGAATAAAATTACAAATTTAACCTTAAAAGTCATTTTTCTCACAATACCCCTTTTTCTTCTTGTCTCTCCATCTTCCTCTTCTAACAAATTCATTATCTTCTTCCTTTTTCCTTCTTCCTCTTTTTTTTTTTTTTT